GAGACCGGACGGGACCGGACCGATCCCTTGGCTAGCCAAACGGTCCCAACGGCCAATTTATATTTTTTTTAAAAAAAAAATTGGCTATTTAGAAAATAGTCGTTGGGCAGCCCAAAAATAGCCTTTGGCTATTTAGAAAATAGTCATTTAACCCCCAACTTTATTTTAATCCCAAACTTTTTATAATTACACTTTTTCCCTATTTTTAACTTTTATAAGAAAGATACTGCCATGTTTTTTTAATGCTATAAAAGGCATTGCTTTGAATATCTCTTTACAATATTTTTGTCTTTAAATTTGAATTATAAAATTTAAGTCACAATTTTATAATAAAATTTACAAGGCATTGCCTTAGATATTTTGTTAACATTCTTGTCTCTAATTTCTCTATAATATTTTTTAAAAAAAAAATATTTAGCCGTTGGGCCCACTTAGCCCACTTAGTTCGCGGGCCCGGCCCATTTAGCCCAGAGCCATGAGTTTGTGGTCCCGGTCCCGAGCCGGTTCCTACAAAAAGACCGTTTAGCCCGGGACCGTTAGGACCGTTTATTTTGGGACCGACCCGTGATCAGGACCGTGACCGTTTGGACCGGCCCACTTGACCCGTTTAGGGACTGACCCGGCCCACATACCAGCCCTACTTGGGAACATGTATTAAACACTAAGGAACAACAAACAAAATTAGAAACTATAGACTTGTTTCTAACTATAGCTATTTGAAAATTGAATGTTGTTGCATATCCTCACCGTATTTTGTTCCCGATATTTCCTGCAGCTCATACTGCTTTCGCATTTAACAGTTCACTTTTCAAACAATGAGCGATTCGCACCTACTTGTCCCACGAGCTTAAATCATTTCAAAGTATGTATTTCAAATTTCGTGAAATTTGGAAAATCCATAATGGAGCTAGGCTCAACGTATCTCAACTTAGCCCGTAATATCTAACATAGCTCTAGCAAGCCTCATTACAATCAAACTACGTATTACAACATGTATCCATTAATACCAAGGATGCGATCACACCAGCACTAATGCACCGGATCTCATTAAAACTTCGAAGTTAAGCTTGTTTGGACCAGAATAGTACTAGGATGGATGATCCACTGAGAAATCTTGGAATATAGTGATTTTGTTGTCGTTGTATCCATTAATAGCAATTCACAAACACCATTCTACTTTTAAGTTTCAACCCATTCAAGAACCCAAATATCCAATTAGGGCGAACTCTTAGTTATTCAATCTATATCCAACAATTGAGTTATTAGTTTATTATGGTCGTTACAATTCACCATTAAAAATCCATAAACACTATTCATCACCCTTTTCCCCAAATTCACCATTTAATAAGATCCATTTTTAGGGTTCGGCCAATATTCTAATTAAACAATTATTTCTACTCCAAATCATCTTTTACATACTCATTTATACACAATTTATGAAAATTGAGTAGGGAGATTATCTTTGAAGATAAATCTTGAAAATTTCCATGTCTAAGAATTCTTGAGATGCTTGAGGTTCTAAAAAAGTACTCATATGTTTGTAGTTGCTAGGGCTAGTATCAACGAATTGCAGTTACACCAAAATCTAGAATTAAAATCTCATCTTATATGGCAGTTTTGCTCCCGTGGCCGAATCTCATCCATTATCTCCAAAGCCCTAATCAAATCCCCTTTTTCATTATTCTCTCTCGTCAGGGCCAACTTAAGAGCCCAATAGCTCAGGTAAGGGCTCACTTGTCGCGCAAGATGCTCCATGCTAACGTCCTAGAGAAATCCTAGCTCTAGCGGAGCTCCGGCTAATTCTCTCTATTGCCAACACCTGCTCAGGATTTGTTGCCAAGGTTCTCGCGTCACGAGACCTTGGCGAGAGAGGTCCTAGGAGTTTGGCTTGGTTCTCCATATTTTGACACTTTTAAACTTCACATCATGGTTTCACACTTTTAAAACGCAATGTGCATATATTTTCAACCTCTCACCGTATTATTTTCATCGGCTGCTATTGTTTACATGTAAAATGATGTAATTAGTATGCGTTAAACTTCATAACGAGCTTTAACAATTTGAAAATTTTCAGGGTGCTACATGACAAATCCTTCTAAATTTTTTTCTATCTCAAACATCCAATTTGGGCCAAATACAAAACGAAGAACAATTATTTTGATAGTTTAAGGACATTGACAATTTTTTATCGGTTGATTTGTACAAATAGGATCAGTCGGTGCCGTCGTTTAATTTTAACCTTGGTAAGAAAAGTCTTGAGAAAATAGTCTCCGGTCATAATTTTGGGAAGTATACCTGGCCACTAGAATTTTCAGATGGTCATCACCAAGATTTGCCATAAAACATGACAATCGCCAGAATTTTTCATATGATAATGAAGATTATTTGTTCAAGATTTTTCTGTAGAAATGATACCAGTTATGTATTTTAAAGGGTTGCTATTTAGGAATTAGCTAGTGTGTCCTAAATTTCAACTTTTTCGTTTAATTTTTCAGGATAAAAATATCCTAAATTATCCTGAAATTAAATTTTTTTAGTATAAAAATACTAGCTAATCTTTAAATAGTATCTCTGAGAATAACTATCTATGCACTTGCCCCGATTATTTTTATCGAAGTCAAAATTTAAACGGTAGTCCTAAAAAGATTCATATAGCGCAATTTCAAGTTTTTTATTTGGGGACAAAAGTAAGCTGCGCGGCTAATGTGGGACAATTTAGGGCCAAAAACAAAATGGAGAACAAAGTTGTCATCCGATCTTGAAATAGGTCATCCCGGTTATCCCGATCTTTTATATGTTCATTTCGTCAGGTATCTGAATCATACGGTTTTGAGGATTTTGCTACCTTCTTCGCAAACTCTTTTAATTGTTGGATGCGCAAAACAACCTATTCAATTCCCTTTACATGACTCGGTGACCTTTGACACGTTATACCTGGTTGCACGTAATCTTGCCTTTCACTCTTGGACTAACTAGTGACTTTAAATTAAACCAGTTGACTTATCTCTATTTGTGTTTTCTTTTAGGTCGGCTGACCCGTTTGAAACGTTCAGGGGCAAAATTGGCCGTTTATCCCGCCCAAAAAAGGAGAAAAAGAGAAGAAAAATAAAACCATGCCCAATCGTCTCTGCTGAAGGCTTCTCAAGCCAAACCCTTGTTCGAGGTCCACCTAATGGCGTTTTCCATTCACTCTGCTGACTGTGAAGTGGAGGTATTTGGCGTTTTTTGATTCCACATTAACTTGCTTATTTCTTATCAACCCCAAAAGCTTTTGGAAATGTTGTTTTGATGTACCTCATGCTCCTACATTACCTCTTTTATATTCGTTCCTCCAGGTCGTTTCCTTTGTTCTTTCTTATTGTTGTGTAATAGCAGCCTCCAAATAGCCAAGTTTGTTTTGCTCTTTGTAGAGATTGAATATATTTCTAGTGTTTCGAGGAGCTAAAATCGCATACAACCGGAAAACGAGAATAAACTTTTGTTGATTTTCTTTATTTGTTGATTGAGGTTTGAAATTGTCTTGTGTTCTTGAACAGACAGGCACATATGACATGCATTTATGTATGGTACTTTTTTTCTTAACAACTGGAAGCTAATCTTCCACGAGTATTTGTTACCACAAGGGTTAAAACTAGAGTTTCCCTATAACACATCGACAAATTAAATCACAAAATTCGATCGATATATGCCTATTTCTTATGCATCTGGCTTTTGGGTTTTGTTTTGAATTTGTTCTTTCCCCAGCTTTTGTACAGCTAAAAGTTGAAAAGTTGTTGTTATCTTGTTAAAATTGAAGGTAATGTAATATAGAGCTAAATATACGGCCGTCCAAGAAAGTGGACCTTAGTTCTTAAAGCTTTTATAATCTCGTTTCTAAGGTTTGCAAATACTACTTTATAGGCTATCCTTTCCAGCTAAATGTTTTAAGTCTTCTGTGAGAACCCTTAGAGATACACTTTGTATAACAATGATAAGACCTTAGTGAAAGAATCTGAATCTATTGTACTATCGTGCTGTCACTCAATATCTGCACATAACTGATTAAAAGTTGCATTTTCATAAGATTTGTAGCCTCCAGCTGTTATTAGTAAGGATAAATTGGATTTTTAGATGTAAAAGAAAGACGACAGGAGATACAGATTCTTCTTGTGGTCAGAGAGGCTAAAATGCTAAAGGTGTTTAAGAGGGAGTTACTGGTGCACACTTTTGACCCTGAGTTTGCTTGGTCACCAAATTGATTTATAACATTCGGCTCCAAGTCATAGTAGAAATTTAGCATCACTAGGAATCAAATGGTTGGATGACCTTATAATGTACCAATCTACTCATAAATACTATGCACTAGTATCTGTATATGGTCCGGGGTGATCTCCCGCCAAGGCTGCATTACAGTCCAACATGTAGTATAAACTGACAATGCAAAGAGAAGAGGCGATCTCCCACCAAGGTTACATTACAGGCAACCATATTGTAAATGTGTCAATTAGGTTGAGCCAAAGAAGCAAGTCATCAGATTCAAATGTTGGTGGATACCCTATTCAGCCATTTAAACTTTGAAGCAGAATGTCTTTATTATAGTCTCTATATGCAGTATGCAGGCTCCTACTTGCTATGTGTATTTCTTGTGGAAAAAACTTTTTACCATTACAACTACAACACAATTCTGTAGCAATAAGTATTAGTCCTTAGATACGGATCATGTGAAGTCTGTAGCTGACTTTTAGCTATGCTATATTTTGCTATGGATGCTACGAAAAAAGTATGTTGTGGCTACTGTGTTTTGCCACGGAAATTTTCATATTTAGCTACAATGCTTTTCGTAGTTGTAGATGCATAACGTTTTAGTGATAGTTTACCTTTCTTGACACTCCAACTCTGTTTCAAAAGCAGACACTCTAAAAACTCACTTTATATGCGTACATACTACTCTCTCTTTACAATTATTGCCAACATAACCATAGTCGAGGTACGCAAACTAGTACGGACACCACCATCATAAAAAAGAGTGAATATATTAAAAACCCCCTAAACTATCGCCATTTTGCGAGTTTTATACCTAAACTATTGGATGTGCCCGTTACCCTTTGACTATAACTCTCTTTAGATGCAAAATGTTTGGGATAACTTGTTGAGAGATGCGGGTGAGATGATAAAAGTATTAAAAATGAGTCCACCTAGCCGTTTCTAACAGGGGGTTTCCGTGAACACCCAATAGTTTATTAAGGTAATATTCACACTAAACCCCCGTTTGGCCATAGATTTTGCCAAATTTTTTCCAAATTTATTTTGGCAAATACCTGTTTGTTCATAGATTTTATCCATATTTTGGCAAATTTCCAAATCCCAAAACCAACTCAAAAGCTGTTTTTTTGCCCAAAATATTACTGTTTGGTTTTTAAAAAAAATTCAAAAATTGCCTGAAACTTTTGCATTTTATCAAAAAGCCCACTTTCTGTTATTATGACCCAACTAATTCATATCTACCCACTTTCCCTCATTAAACTCACGGGGCTTTGCCCTTCTCTATAAACAGAAGAAAACCTTCGCCAAAGTTGTGGCAATTCACCGCAAAGAGAAAATTTGAAGGTAAATTGCTAAATCTGCTAATGTTTGTATGAATTTTCTTCAGATTTGTTTCACTTGTTTTGTATGAATTTTCTTCAGAGTTGTTGGGTATTTTTGATAGTTTTTAAAACTTATGAGTATAAGTCACATTTCATGTTTTTTCAAAAAAATAAATGAAATATGTTTTGAAAAATTATGTCCAAACAAATATTCATCTTCAAACCAAACTTCACCCAAATCAGATTTTTTAAAACAAATTTGGGAATCTTTGGCCAAACGCTAGCTAAAACTAGATATTTGGAAGTACACAGAAATTAGGAAGAGAAAAAATCAATTCCTCTACTTTTTAGTCTGGTTTATATAGCTTGGTTTGTTTTCTTGTTGATGTCCTTATACTATATTCAGTAATTTTTCGTTTTTGTTTGTAGAAAGTAGAGATGGATAAATGTTGGTTGACAATTAGAAATAGAGCGGATCGAAGATATATTAGAGGAATAGATGGCTTTCTTGATTGGGCATACAGTCAACCAAATGTGAGCTCTTTGATTCGTTGTCCTTGTAAAGGGTGCATGAACACTGTGTTCAAGTTGAGAAACGTAATAAGACTAGACTTACTGAAGAAAGGCTTCTGGGATAGTTATAAGGTGTGGGACTTGCATGGAGAAGTTTTAGTAAGAGATGATAATTCTCATAATGTATGCAATGATGAAGTAGAGTTTGATAATGTTGGAGAGGATGATATTACTGAAATAGTTCATGATGCTTGTGGATGTACGAAGATGGAGGAATCATGTGGCTCAACGTCTTTAGCCACTGTACTTGGCAAGAGAACAAGCTCTGCTCGCGGAAACGAGTATGGAAAGAAGCCTCCCAACAAGAGCTGCATGCAACAGGCAAACTTTGAGGCTAGCCTGTCTTTTGCAATAGAGAAAGCGCGTCAAAAGATGCAAACTAACATGAATCAAAAGTTTCAAGAGAAACGTGAACAAATGATGCGAGCTAACATGTATCAAAAGTTTCAAGAGAAATGTGAACAAATGCGAGCAGAAATGGTCAAAAGCTTTCAAGATCATATTGAAGAGGAGTTTCGTAAAATGCGAGTAGAAATGGATAAAAGAATCCAAGATCAAATTGCTACCGTATTTGTCAGAATGCAACAGGTATTCTTCCTCTTGATCTTTCAGTTTTAGTGGGATTGAGTCCCATTATTGTGATTCATTTAGCGTCCGCCCCCTTTTCCTGTTCACAATCTTCACTTCAATGCATTGCTGTCCATAATCTGCACAAAGGAATTGTTCTCCAGAGTAAGTGAATAGTCTTTATATGTCTGACCAATAATGACCTCTAAACTCAAACTACAGTTGGATACATAGTCAGAATATTCTTTCCTTTTCTTTTTCTCTAGATTCAGTATAGAACCAGTGCCAAATTGTTGGCAAATGACTGGTATGTTGTCCTGACTGTTTAGAAAGGTTTACTGTGCCAATGCGTAAAAAGATAACAAAACACACATAGAACAGAGGGCGATTCATGTTAAGAAAAAAGTGGTTCTTGTGCATGGAATTTATCAGAAAATCATGAGCTTGTTAAAACCTTGATTAATAATATCTGCTTGTTGCAACTCGAATGAACTGCCATTTTCGAGTATGGTTTCTGATCATATGTTCTTTGTTGATCTGCATAATTGTCGGATAGTACTAAATATAGAGAGATGTCATTCTTTTTGAACTAACTAAAAAGGAAAGAGAGTCATATAAATTGGGACATAAAGAGTAGTAATTTTACTTTAAATCGATAGGCTCCTTTGAATCACCCCAAAAAGAAAGGAGGCTTCTTGTTTTGCTAAAACGAGATTTAAACCAGATAAGACAACCTGACAGTAATACAGTTATCATAAAAAAGCTACTATGTCCTAAAAGCTTTTACCAAAATTTTCTATGTTAATGTTGTAATTTTTTTTTATAAAATAAAAATTCTATTTCTTATGTTGTAAGTTGTAAATTTTCTATGTTTATGTTGTAATTGGCTGAGTATGGAGATTCTGATTATAAGCACAGTAATTAAAAGATAAAGCTTTAAAAGAAAAAAGACAGAGAAACAAGGTATTAGTACAACTATTGGTTGATATTCTACTCCCATTACTGAAAATGTTTATGTTTTTGTTTCGTGATCCAATCTGCAAGAAATGGAGGCAAAGAACAAAAGCCCAAACCATTGCGAATAACATTTTATATGGTTTAGCAGTTGCTTGAAGTTATTAAGTTTAGGTTGTCTGTTGATGGAACAATCAAAGTGAAGTATTGTTTTTTATAAAATAGCAGGGACAAAGTTCTTCAATAACGAGAAATGATGTGGCGAATGGAGGAGATTGAAGACATTTAGGTTCCTTTTTTGGGTCATATGTGTATGTACAGTAACGAAGTTTTTTGAAGTTTTGTACATTTTGGTACATGTTTAGAAGTTGAGTCTGTCTCTGCTGCTTCTACATGTTCCTCAGTAAAGCTCATTATGAACATGTGAGCTCAAGTAACTTGGCCTTTACTAATCAACTAGTAACTTTTAACTGATGCCTTAATAACCTCTAATTCACCAATCTTTGTCAGATCTTTTCTCTTCCCATTCTGTAGCACTTACATTGTACATTTGTGAAAATCAAGGGAAATTTGATTGTGGGATCTCATTTGATTCTAAAATTTAACTCCTTGCACCTTTCATCTGAAACTAGGAAAAGTATGATGACTGATTATTTGGTTTTCATCAACTCCTATCACTCTTAGCTAGCGTTTGGCGTTTGGCGTTTGGCCATAGTCTCAATATGCCAACCACTTTGACTAATATACAGGTAGTAACAAATTAGCTCTTTTAGAACTTTTAATTAATTTATACTACAAGATTTTTTGTCACACCATCCATATGGTGAATATCTCATTCACGGAGAAAATCGTATCATAATAATTGTCATGGTTAAAATCATCATAAGCAAAATCGTTTTTTGCTTTAATTTTGCCTTGTATAACTTTCTATAAGACATGGCAAAATATTTTCGGTGTACCACATGTACGCAACCAATGACATATTCATGTAACCATATAATAATGTTCATTATCTTTCTTTCTCTCAAACCTCCCGTAGAGATGAGTTGTAGTATTTATTCAATTATACATAAGCACATTCTTATGTGTAATTTGTATCACATATATATTTCCACATTCACTTTCAGGAATAAGTATGCATTTATAATGCTCAGTAGTCGCATTCTTTCAAAATGGACTATAATCGTCTGAACGTGCCTCATATTTACATACTATATTGATACACATTTTCTTCACCTTTGAAGGATTATTTTGAGAACCGTGAAGAATCACTATTGTAAAATAGTGAGTGGAATGGCCACTATTGAGAGAAATGACCATTATTGAGTGGTATGGTCACTACATAAATATGTCATTAAATATGTCATTAAGCATTTGAGAATAAGATCATGGAGGAAGATCATAGGGGAGGTTATGGAGATAATGGAGAGTAGTAGTGAGCATTACTCATTTGGTAGTTATGGACATCCACCATAATTCAAGATTTTATAACAAAAAAATATTTCCTAGGAAAATGACTTGTTTGACCAAGTTTTAAAGAACTTTTTTAGTTGAAGAAAGAAAGTGTTATGAAATAAAAGCAATTTAGTAAAACATGAACAAGAAATAGAGATAGAGAAGGAAGAGATTTCCTTCTTCAATTATTTGTATTTTCCTATCTATTGCAAGGCCTTTTCATAGGCATGAAAAGTGAAGAAAAATATGTCATTAAGAATTTGAGATGAAGATTATGGAGGAAGAGTAGACATCCACCATAATTTGATTTTTCTTATAACACTCCCCCTTGGATGTCCATAGATAATGTGCCTCGTTAAAACCTTATTAAGCCCTCTAAACAAAATCCTAGTGAAGGAAAGAGAGTACACATGTTTATAAATATGGCTTTTGGTTGCCTTGTTAAAAACCTTCAAAGAAAATCCAATGGGACAAAACCTTGTAAGGAAAAAAGAGTACAACGCGTATTAACCCCCCTGGTGAGAGCATCAATTCATATCCTTCAGCCTTCGCATCCCAATCTTGTACACTAGTTTCTTGAAGGTTGACGTCGGTAGATATTTAGTGAACAAATCAGTCATATTATCATTTGAACAAATCTGTTGCACATTGATATCACCATTCTTTTGAAGATCATGTGTGAAAGATAACTTTGGTAAAATGTGCTTTGTCCTATCTCCTTTTATGAATCCTCCTTTCAATTGGGCTATGTATGGTGCATTGTCTTCATACAAAAATGTGGGTAGTTTGTCACACTTCAAACCATACTTGTCTCTAATAAGACGTATTATAGACCTCACCATACACATTCTCGACTTCCTTCATGAATAGCAATTATCTCAGCATGATTATATGAAGTAGCCACGATTGATTGCTTAGTTGATTGCCAAGATATGGCAGTGCCTCCACATGTAAACACATGGCCTATTTGAGATCGAGCCTTGTGTGGGTCAGATAAATACCCAGCATCGACATAACCAACAAGATCAGGACTGCAATCATTGCCATAAAATAATTCTATATCGGTAGTTCCTTTTAGATAGCACAATATGTGTTTGATTCTATTCCAATGTCTCCTTGTAGGAGCAGAGTTATATCTTGCTAAGACATTAACTGAAAAAGTTATGTCAGACCTTGTAGTGTTAGCAAGATACATTAGTGCACCAATTGCACTAAGATATGGTACTTCAGGACCAAGAATCTCTTCATTCTTTTCTTGAGGTCGGAACGAGTCCTTATTCACATCAAGTGATCAAACAATCATCGGAGTACTTAATGGATGTGCTCCATCCATGTAAAACCGTTTCAATACCTTTTCTATGTAGGCAGATTGATGAACATAAGTCTCGTTTGCCAAATGTTCAATTTGCAAACCAAGACATAATTTTGTCTTTCCGAGATCTTTCATCTTGAATTTCTTATTTAAATAATCAATTTCCTTTTGGAGTTCTGTAGGAGTTCCAATAAGGTTTATGTCATCAACATATACAACAAGTACAACAAACTCTGATGTTGTTTTCTTTATAAAAACACATGGACAAATAGCATCATTTATATAACCTTCCTTTAATAAATACTCATTAAGGCGGTTATACCACATTCTTCCTGATTGCTTTAGACCATACAAAGATCTTTGCAATTTGATTGAAAACATTTTCCGGGACTTTGAATTATGTGCGTCAGACATTTTAAATGCCTCGGAAATTTTTATGTATATCTCATTATCAAGTGAGCCGTAAAGGCCGACTGTAACCACATCCATTAAATGCATGTCAAGTTTTTCATGGACAACAAAACTAATGAGATAACGGAACGATATAGCATCCATAACAGGAGAATACGTCTCTTCATAATCGATACCAGGCCTTTGTGAAAATCCTTGTGCAACAAGGTGTTCCTTATATCTTTGTACCTCATTTTTTCATTCATTTTACGTACAAAGACCCATTTATAGCCAATAGGCTTGACATAATTAAGTGTTTGGACTACAGACCAAAAAACTTCACGTTTTGCAAATAAAGTTAATTCTGCCTGGATAGCGTCTTTCCATTTTGGCCAATCATTTCTCTGTATACATTCATTGACAGATTTTGTTCAAGATCCTCATCTTATTGCATTATTTCAACAGCGACATTATAAGCAAAAACGTTATCAATAACAATATTATTTCAGTTCCATCTTTTTTCCGTTGAGACATAACTTATTGAGATCTCTCCATTCTCATCATTTTCAGGTACTTAAACCTCCCTTGAGGTCTTATAATTTGTTATGTCTCTGTGCTCTTCTTGAGCCACTACCTCCTTATTATGATCACTTTGATCATTTGCTCCTTTTCTTTTTCGAGAATTTTTATCCTTAGAACCGATTGGTCTACCACTTTTCAAGCGTGGTTTAAACTCATTTTATTTAATGGATTGTCCTCTGGGATATCAACTCGAATTAGAGCATTATCAGCTCAGTCACCCTTGGTAGGTCAGTGAATGCATCTGGCAGTTGATTTACAATATTTTGCAAATGAATTATCTTTTGAACCTCTTGTTCACATTGATTTGTTCGAGGATCTAAATGAGATAGTGATAATACATTCTAATCTATATCTTTTCTCAGCTGCTTATTTTCTCCCCCTAATGTAAGGTATACTGATTCATCAAAATGACAATCAGAAAATCTTGCCGTAAATAAATTTCCAGTCATAAGATCCAGATATTTTATAATAAAAGGGGATTCATACCCAACATATATCCCAACCTTCTTTGGGGACTCATCTTTGTGCATTGTGGTGGATCAATTGGAATATATATCGCATAACCAAAGATTCTAAGATGGGAAATATTTGGCTTCTGACCAAAAGCCAATTGCAATGGGAAAACTTTATGATAACTTGTGGGCCTTATCCGCACAAGTGCTGTTGCATGTAAAATAGCATGACCCCATACTGAAATGGGGAGTTTTGTTCTCATAAGCATTAGTCTAGCAATTAATTGGAGGCATTTGATCAATGATTTCGCTACACCATTTTGTGTATGAATATGAGCAACTGGATGCTCAATTGTTATCCCAGTTGATATACAATAATCAGTAAAGGCCTGAGATATAAACTCACCAGCATTATCAAGACGAATTGTCTTAATTGTATAATCTGGAAATGGTGCTCTTAGTTTTATTATTTGAGCCAACAATCTCATAAATGCCATATTGCAAGTTGACAATAAGCACACATGTGATCATCTTGTAGATGCATCTACCAAAACCATATAATATTTGAATGGTCCACATGGAGGGTGAATGAGACCACATATATCACCATGTATACGTTCCAGAAATATCGGGGATTCCATCCTAACTTTAATAGTTGATGGTCTAATAATTAATTTGCCTTGAGAACATGCGACACAAGAGAATTTCTTAAATTGAAGAATCTTTTGGTTCTTCATTGTGAGCACCTAATTTTTGACTACACGTGAATATTTTTCCACTCACACTCTCACTTTCTCCATGCACTTCCCTCACATAATCCCTCCACCAACACACACGGACACTCACAAAAAAAAGAGATTCATCTCTACCCCAAACACAAATAACAAAAAATACAAAAAGGGAAGGAGAAAAATCATAAAGGGGAAGAGGAAAATCAAAGAGGGGAGGAGGAAAGTAAAAACATAGGGGAGAGAAAACAGAGGGGGCGTTCTCTTCGCAAAGGAGGAAGGAGGAATCTGATAAAATATTATCACCTAAGAGCTAAATAAGGGAGAAAAATAAAAATGTAGCACATCTTGGCTTTCCCACTAAAACAACCTATTTTTCATCTAGTTTTACCACCAATCCTCAATTAACAACCTCAAAAAAAACTCCAAAAAACGAGCTGAAAATCTGCTAAAAATGCAGCCATGAATCTTCGTTAACCACCAGTTAAACACTACCAAAACTAGCAGCTCTTTCACTGCACAAACAGCCCCAAATTATCTGTTAAACCCATCTCAAAATCAGCTCCAAACCATCCCCGAACAACTCCAAAAACGAGCTGAGAATAATCCTAAATCAGCAAAGCAGTCAAAAACTGACCTAAAACATCCCCAAAAT